TTTTTTTTTTGGTGGAGCCGGGGATTGAACTCAGGCCCTTGTGCCTGCCTGGGAAACACTTCTACTGAGCCGTCTCCCCGGCCCCATGTTTATGTAAAATTCTGTGATTCTGTGGTAGTTTCTCCTTTTTTTTGTCTTTTTACAGGATCTCACTGCAGTTCAGACTGGCCTTGAACTCACTTTGTAAAGCCCAGGCTGGCTCCAGACTTGCAGCCATCCTCCTGCCTCAGCTTCCCGAGTGCTGGGATCATAGGGAAGTGCCGCCTCACCCAGCTTCTCGCTTCTGATTGGCCCTAATAATGACAACAGGCATGAAGGCTCAAACAGTTGCTCAAACCGGGTTTCATATTTCCTCTGGTGTAGACAGCTCGGTGGGGCAGACGGGTGGCGCGGAAGCCAGAACTTGCTGTGTTGAGCCCCGCCTTTGCCCCTTCGAGGTTAGCTCCTGAAAGCAGCTTAGTCCTTGGCGTGCGGCGTGCCTGAGGGGTCTGAGAAGCAAGTGAGGCAACGTGCAGGAAGTGCTCCTGGTGCTGGGGTCTCCGCCTCCGTTGCGTGCGGGGTCTGACAACAGGTCGCTAGCTCCTTCCCTAGAAATGTGGCTCACGCAAATCTCATTTGACACAGGAGTTTAAGTCCCTTGATACTTGCCAGGGACCCGGATCCTCTGGGCACCGGCCTCCCTGGAGCCTGTCCCTGTCACTCATGTGGCCATGGTGGGACTGCAGATGTGGTCCCGGGGGCCTTCAGCTCTAGCCCAGACAAGAGAAACTTGAGGACTTGGGGTCGGGGGGGGCGCCTCCCACCTGCTGCGATTGGGCCACCCAGTCCTCATGCCTGCTTGCCCGTGCAGAACAAGTGTGGCCGAGCAAAGCAGCCGTTTACAGAGAGCAGATGGGCAGTCCAGACACCCCTTTGGGGCTCACACTTGCGTGTGTTCCACGTGGAACCTGGGAAAGCTGCCTCTGCTCATTTAGTGTATTGGCTTAGAGTCAGGATTTCACTGTGCAACCCTGCTGTTCTGGTTGGCTGCATTACCCAGGCTGACCTGGAGTCCAGACCCTCCTGCTCCAGCCTCCTGAGGTGACGATTGTGCACTGCAGCACCCCCTTCTCTGCTCATGCACACTCACTTGTGACTCGAGTTAGTGTAGAAAAGTATGAGTAGCATCTGTCTCCCACGACCCAGTTTTTTTTCTTTCTTCTTTTATTTAATACTAGGGATTGAACTCAGGGCTGTCACACTGAGTTAGGTACGTCCCTAGGGCTGGGCTCGAACATCTGACCCTCTTGCCTCAGCCTCCCAGGTGCTGGGGTGTGAGCCTGTGTCCCACCCTGACCCTGTGACTCATTGCTGGAGCTCATGGCCCATCCCCGGGAGGTCTGCAGTCCAGATGGTTGAGGTTTTTGTTCGTTTGTTTTGCGGAGCCAGGGATTGAACTGAGGCCCTTGCACTTGCCAGGCAAGCACTCATTCCACTGAGCAATCTCCTCGGCCCCAGTCCAGATGGTTGTAAGCAGTTTCTGAACTGCTGATGTGGCTGTGTTGCCAGGCAGGGCCTTCCTCAGGTGCCTGTCTGCTTGTCCCCCTCCTGCATTTCTCCTTGGGCTGAAAGGTGACAGTGAGATGTTTGTCACCTTTGCTACCAGAGTCCCCTTGCAAAGTCAGAATAGTGACCTGAGGTTTTCTTTTAGGGCCTTGCTTCAGAAAATGCACTATACATCCTTAACTCCCAGACCAAGTACTAGAGGGAGCTGTCTCCCACCCCCCAGAGCGCCAGAAGGGGGGGGGGGGCAGGAAAGCAATAAGCACTTCTCCAGCACTGAGTTCTCGGAGCGCCTGATTTGTTCAAAAGAATGGGATTGGTTGTTTCTGACCTAAAATCCCAACAATGAACTGGCAAGGTGGTGCACACCTGTAATCCCAGCACTCAGGAGGCTGAGGCAGGAGGACCACTTTCAGTTCAAGGCCAGTCGGTCACCTAGTGAGACCTTGCTTTTTTTTTTTTTTTTTTTTTTGCGGAACTGGGAATTGAACTCATGTCTTTGAACTTGCCAGGCAAGCACTTATTCAACTGAGCTATCTCCCCAGCCCCCCGCCTTTTTTTGATACAGGGTCTCATCCTCCCCAGCGCTGGGATTATAGGTGTGTACCACCACACCTGGTTTGTGGCTGGCACAGCTCACTGATGTGGCCTGTGGTGCCAGGGATCACACAAGTAAAAATAAAATGCCTATTTATTTATTTGTGTATTTTTGAGACAGGGTCTCGCTATAAAGATCAGACTGCCTTGAGGTCACCTAGCAGCCCAGTCTGGTCTCAAACTCAGGGTGATCCTCCTGCCTCAGCCTCCCAAGAGCTGGGATTACAGGCATGCGCCTCCACGATGACAATATTTTACTTGGAAAACCCAATGTATTGTTAGTAAACTCTTCTAACCACGAGACACCCTGCTCTCCCGCGCTCGCATATTCGATTTGCTCTTTCAGTGTTTTCGTGGCAGGTGTGTGGTGACGCCTCCGCCCACCTTATCCGCCACAGACCGGGTTTGCGCACAGGCGTCGGTGTGACCTGGCAACGCTGTCAGGACCATTTCCTGGATGTCCATCCTCCGCCACGCCGCTGTCACTGCAGCCCTGCTCGGTCCTGCGCAGCCGGACGCGGTTCTGGGGGCGTGGCTTGTGCAGGCCCCGCCCCCACGGCCGGGACAGCTTCTGAGCGTCCCCCGCCCCCTCCTGCGCCCTCCTCCCCCTGGTTGCTGCTCCGAGGAGCTGGCGGGCGCCTCCCCTCTCCACCCCACCACTGCAGGTGCTGTTCGCGGCCCTGAAGATTTGCCAGAGACCTGGGTCCCTACAGTAGCCTGCCTTCCAGAAGATTCCTCGGCTTCGGCCTCACCCCTGCGCTGGCTGGCTGTCTTGGAGAGCTGCACCAATCACAAGCGCTATTCGAACTCGTTTGTACAGGGCCCATCACCGGTTTAAATTTGCATGCTGCACAAACCTGTATGTGGACCAGTCATAGGGCTCAAATTTAATGC